GGGTCTCGCTCTTGCTCAGGCTGGTCTCAAACTCCTGACCTTGAGCGATCCACCCGCCTCGGCCTACCAGAGTGCTAGGATTACAGGTGTGAGCCACTGCACTCGGCCATCCCTTCCTTATGGTATTCTTAATAATGTTTTCTTTTCTCTAGCTTTATTATAAGAACACAGTATATTATACGGAACATACAAAATATGTGTTAATCGACTGTTTATGTTATCAGTAAGGCAGGCTATTAATAGTTACGTTTTTGGGGAGACAAAATTTATACCTGAATTTTTGACTGTGCCAGGAGTTGACACCCTTAACCCCCCCATTGTTCAAGGGTCAAGTATATTTCTGCATTGATGGAGCTTAAGATACCAAGGACAAGATGGACATTAACACAAACCAAGATGAACGCTTGTGAGGAAACACAATTCTACGAGGCCACATATCATAGTTCTTTGAATATGAGGTGCCCATTGAAAAAAGCAAAACTGTTTCATGCACCATTAAGGAAGTTAAATACGCTGATCATGGATGAACATACACCAATGGAGGGACACGTTCCAATTTCAGAGATATTCACATGTGAAGGAAAAGGTTCATCTTAGAACGGAAGAAATGTGGTAACCAAGAAATGGACTGTAGACTTGGGGCGGGGGGTCAGGAATGGATTCCTAGAGGAAGTGACACTCGAGACAAACTCTCAGTGGAGTACAGGTGTTAACTAGGCATAGCAGGGTGGCAACTAAGCCAGGGAGAGGATTTGAGACAGAGAAAAGACCACAGCAAAAACCCGTGTCAGAAAAGAGCAAGATTATCACATGGATGAAAGGACAACAGTCCCCGGCACATAGTAAGTGCTCCATAACCCTCCGCTATTGTTAAGAGGCTACTCGCACAGCTCACAGCATTGAGAGTCATGCTCATACATGATGAGACCAGGGACCAAAACTTTTTCATATGCACATTTCCTGGAATTCAAAGTGAAGAACTCTTAATAAAGAAATAAAAGCAGGCTGGGCACGATGGCTCACACATGTAAACCAGCACTTTGGGAGGCCAAAGTGAGAGGATCACTTAAGGCCAGGAGTTCAAGCTCAGCTTGGGCAATGCAGTGAGACCTCATCTCTATAAAAAGTAAAAAAAAAAAAAAAAAAGAAAGAAAGAAAGAAAAGTAGAAGGTTCGGGTAATTTAGACTGATCCCAACTGGTCACCTAAACTGTGAGGTAGACTTCCCTGCCCCTCTGCAGGAGGAGGAATCACGTGACTAGTTTGGACAAATGGGCCGTGAACAGAGTGGCACGTGTCCCTTCTGGGTGAAGGCAGTGGAAAATTATCCTCTCTTCAGCCCCTGCTGCGACAACCTTGGAAGCCAAACATTGAGATGGCAGCACTGTGACATGATGCTGTGTCTGTCACCTGCACTGGATGTGTGACATGAGCAAGAAATAAACCACGGAGACTAGGGGGTTTGTTTGTTACTACAGCATAACCTAGGCTTACCCTTACTAACATACATTAGCCTGGGAACCAGGAGACAGCCAGCTGCTGCTGCACCCAGGGAGAGGCAAGGAAACCAGTCTGCAGAAAAAAAATGCACAACTAAAGAACGAATTGGCAACAAGCAGCTACACAGAACCAAGAGAGACAGAGAGAGGACAGCTGTCATGTTTCTAGGAGGCTCTTCAGTTCCTGGTTCCAGGCTACTGTGCCCTTGGGTCCAGGGTAGTGCTGCTGTCTCCTTCCAGTATAGCTCCCATTTTCAACTTAAGCCAGCTCCAGTAACTTTCAGATACAAACTAAAGAGCTTTGATTAAAGCCCTAGCAATTTCCTTACTGCCAGCCAAGCTGGCTGATAATATGCAGACTGAGGTTCTCACACACTCTCATTCAAAATCTGTCATTTCTGAATTGGAAAATAAAAATTGGACTATTGGACACTGCTGAGCACACAACAGCTCTGACCTCAGAGCTGGGAGGACCCTGCACCAGGCTGCAAGGGCAGGAAAGGGCAATGGCAACAGCCACCGTATGGCCCTTTGTGGTTCCCAAAGCACATTCATTCAATCTGCACAGCTATTCTTTATCCCCGTTTTATAGATGGAGAAACAGACACAGGAAAGGTGAATGCCCACAGCTACTTTGTGAGTGAGCAGTCTGTGACCTCCAGACTTAGGACAATCGTCGGACCACGTGCTGGGTGCCATTCTAAGCACCTCATATATATTAACTCATTTCATCCCTATAACAACCCTATGGGTAGGTACTATTTATCAACCTCATTGTACAGGTAAGTAAACTGAGGCATAGAGCAGTTAAAAACTTTGTCTAAAATCACAGAATTATCCAATGGCAGAGCTGGGATTCAAACCCAAGTAGTCTGGCTCCACAGTTTACCTCTGACATCGCCATGCCATGCTGCCTCTTCAAATGACATTCCGGAAGACACAAACTAACCTGTCTCCAGGGGCCAGGCTAGCATTGTTTATAGGTGAATGAGGACAGGGAGGTCCATAGTAACCTGGACAATGCCTGCTCTGGTCAAATGCAAGAATGTGGGCTCACGGCTATCATGCGGAATTTTTCAAGAGAAGCCAGAAATCCGCATTTGTCTGTTAAATTACTGATATTTAAGAGTTGGCAAACGATTCACATTATCTCAAAGTACATTCAAGCCAATTAAAAGATTCCTGTGGACCACAACCAGCCAGCAGAGGGGCCATGTGTAGCCTCTGTTGCAAAGTAAGATCTTTATAGAATACTACACAAGGCTGATTCCCAGGGAGGTGACTCCAGTTGGTTTTCATCGTTAGACACTGTCCCCAGACGACCCAGCTTTGCTCAGGCATCGCACGAGAAAAGAAGCCTTCGGAAAAGCAGCCCAAGTCAGGCTTCCCCGAGCTCGGCCAACTGCACAGCTGGCATCTTTCCCTGGATCGAGTCATCGCCTCGGGAGGGCTGAGCACAATGTGCTGCTCAAGAATTAATCAAAGAGCAGCCACCAAGACTGATCTCACTTGGCAGAAGGAAGGAAGAGCACCCCCCACTCCCTGCGCTCCACAAGTGACTTGCTCACCTCCTCCAGGTCATCCAGCTCCTCCAGTCGGGTCCGAACCTTCTCTGACATTGCGGATGTGGCAGTCCCGGCTCTGCCTAAAGAGAACAGATTTACGTTACGCAGGTGGTTTTTTCCAACACCCCTGATGGAAGGCACCTTTCACTCTACACTTCATCATGAACAAAGACGCCAGGAAACAATTTCATTACAGAAAACTGAGATTTTGAAAGCAACTTCCTCATGTGACCAAAATTCCATCAGAAACATTTTCCACTTAGAAGCTGCCTCTGGGAGCACAGTGCGCCAGCCTCAAAAAGGTTAAGGGCTGCGTTCAAGATTTACAAACTTTGCTCTGTGCCGTTTGTTTATTGCTAAAGAAAAGTGGTCCAGATTCGGATGCCAAAAATCCATCATTTAATTGTTTTCCAAGAACAAAAGGCCCTCTCAGGCTAGTCCTCACAGCGTAGAATTGTTGTGCCCTCATGCTAACACAACAACCATCTCACTGTGTGCCCTGAGGTGCAAACACCAGGGCTTCAGAGCCCTCTCTCCCGCAAACAGGACTAGCTGTGGCTCCTTCCAGCACCTGTCAGCACACATCTCACCGTCAGCAGGGACTGGTGGAGAGGGGTGAAGGCAAGGACTCCAGGCTGCAGGCCGGACACAGGGCAAGGCGATCCAGCCAGCCAGCTCCTGCCCTCTACAGCCACCTATCCCAGAATGCTTTCCCCATGTAAGGGGGCTTCTGCTCTAGTTCTGAGGTCACGCGGCTCATGTTATCCCCTTACTCCTTCCTACCAAAGCCACTCTTAGGAACTAAGGTTTATTCTTCGTTGGCACTGATTTCTCAGCTCTGCTGCTGACTCACATTTAAGTCTGTGGTCAACTGAGAGCACGGTGCAATTATTTAATTACTAGCAACTACTCCGGTGATGAAGTCTCCAAATAATTTGCCTTTTTTACATTGCTCCTAACTTTTTCCTTCATTTTGAAATATATATGTGGAAAGTACGTACATGGACATTTTAGTAAATAATTCTAAAACCTCTGTAACTACCAACCAGGCCATATATTGTCTTGCTGCCTTCATTCTCCGTAACTTTGCTCATGACCTTTAACCATGCTGTTGTATATAGCTGTAGCTCACTCATTTTCATTGCTGTTTGATATTTTCCATTGTGTGAACATACCACACCTTATTTCTTCACGCAACAGTTAATGGAAGTTTGGGTTGTTTCCCACTTGGGGCCATTACAAACCATGCAGCTATGATCATTTCTGTGCATGCCTCCAGGTTCATGCATGCATGAATTTCTGCAGGGCAGTGCTTCTCAGTCTTTTACAGGAACCACTTAAGGACGTGTTCAAACGCATATTCTTATTCGGTAGGTCTGGGGGCAGGGCTGTATTTCTCATGAGCTCCCAGGTAGGTTGACGCTGCTGGTCCTTGGGCCCCACTTTAAGAAGCATGGATCTAGGCTAGGGTTGGAAAACTCTTTCCTATGAAGGGCCTCATATAAATATTTTAGGTTTTGTGAGTCATGAAGTGTCTCTGTTGTAACTGCTCAACTCTACCACTGCAGCACAAAAGCAGGCAGAGATAACATGTAAACAAATTGTTCCCATAAAACTTAATTTACAAAAAATAGGCAGTGGACCAAACTTGGCCCATATAGGATGGAGTTTACCAACCCCTGATCGAGGGTATACCCTTGTAGCAGAACTGCTGGATCAGAAGGTTGACCCATTGTCTTAATGCCTTTGAGCTACTATAACAAAATGCTATAAACCAGGTGGCTTATAAACAACAGAAATTTCTTTCTCACAGTTCTGGAGGCTGGAATGTCCAAGAACAAGATGCCAACAGATTTAGTGTCTGGTGAGGGCCTGCTTTCTGGTTCATAAATGGTGTCTTCTTGCTGTGTCCCCACATGGCATAAGGGGTGAGGGAGATTCCTTGGGCCTCTTTGATGAAGGCACTAATCCCATTCATGAGGGCACCACCCTCGTGACCTAATCACCCCCCAAAAGAGCCCATCTCCTAATACCATCACCTTGGGGGTTAGGATTTCAACATATGAATTTTGGAGGGACACAAACATTCAGGCCATAGCACCCATCTTCAAACTTAATGAATAAAGCAAAATGTTCTACAAAGCAGTTTTGTCATTTTACGTTTCCATCGGCAGTGTATGAGAGTTCATATTCTTCTACATTCTCACCAACACTTGGTGCTATGGTTTGGACATGGTTTATTTGTCCCCACCAAGTCTCATGTTGAAATTTGATGCCCAATGTTAGAGGCAGAACCTAGTAGGGGGTGTGTGAGTAGTGGGGGCAGATCCCTCATAAATGGCTTGGTGTCTTTCTCACAGCAATGAGTGAGTTCTCATTCTTATTTCCCACAAGAACTGACTGTTGAAAAGAGCCCGGCACCTTCCCCCTCTCTCTCCTGCTTCCTCTGTCACTGCGTGATCTCTGCACACGCCAGCCCCCATTTGCTTTCCATCATGAGTGGAAACATCCTGAGGCCCTCCCCAGAAGACGCTGGCGCCATACTTCTTGTACAGCCTGCAGAACCATGAGCCAAAGAAACCCCTTTTCAATATAAATTACCCAGCCTCAGGTATTCCACTATAGCGACCACTATCCAACGCTAAACGGACTAAGACACTTGATGTCATCAATCCATTTGATCTTTCCAAACTGGTGGGTATGTGATGGTACGATTTACTTTTTACGGTCTGGGGTCAAAGTTATGCCCATAGCAAAGCCGTTCCTGTGCCTTGATTTCTAGTAACATGCTGTCTCAACCTGCAGAGCACAGAGGACAGCTGCAGCTACCACATCCGTGATCTGCACATAAACCGTGGCTATGCTCATGTACATGCTCCTCCACACTCCAGCAGCATATGATCTGTTAGTCACTCTAGAATCACCTGGGAGCTTCAAAAAACGAATTCCGGGGCTCTATTCTGCAAGATTAAATCACCAAGTGGGGGCCAGTGGTCTGTATTTATATCAAAGTTGCTCAGGTAATTCTGCTGCACAGCAGTTTGAGACACCCTGGCCCAGAGCTTCTGACTGCGTGTTTTGGCAGAGGAAACTGAGGACTGCTGTGTTCAAGGACCAGGGGCCTGTAAAACAGCAGGTGACTGCCCTTAGCAGCATTTCTTACTTCACAAGGGACAAAGACTTAAGGCGAAGGGAAGGGTCTCTAAAGCAGTTTCCCAGCTGACAGAGGAGGCACTAAGAGGGGAGATTGTTTATTCCCCTGTAACTCTAAAACTGTAAGCTTATGTTTTATTCCTAGTAACTTCTTTGGTCTTTTTCATTCATGCTCTAAGTATGTATTTTAGTTCTATGTCTATACATAATCCAAGAAATAACCGTATGCAACTGAATTAAACATCAGCAACCCATAATACAAACTTTTTTTCCCTTTGAGAAATTATATTAAAGGTAATGGCAGAATTTTCCCACCAAAACAACAGAAAATTCATCTTACCTTTTTCAGATCCCATAAACAGATTCTGCAGAGACATAAAAATTATTAATACTTTTGAAATCCAAGGCAATATGGCCATATCATTTTCCAAAAAGCCATTTACTTATCTAAGTGAAAGACAAATATATATTCAAAGAAGGAAAATATGGGTCACTAAGCACCACTGGAGATTCAAATACCTATTCAATGCAGGGCTCTCTCAAGGTGAGCCAACAAGTACCAAAATTTTTGATATGGGGCAGAGTCATAGACTAGAACCATATCAACCTACTCTAAATGAGGGTTTTTCACCCTCTACATGACTGCAGTTTGGGGCCAGATAATGCTCTTTTGTTGGGGACAATTCTGTGCACTATAGGATGTTTAGCAGCATCTCTGGCCTCTACCCACTAGAGCCAGTAGCACCCCCAGAGTCGAGATGATCAAAAATGGCTCCAGATGTTGCTAGATGACCCCCAGGGGGACAAAATTACTCCTGGTTGAGAATCACTGCTCCAAGTTAATGCCATGCATTCAGAAAACAATAAGAAAGATTTAAATAGTCTAGCAACTCTTCCCATCATTCTGCTCAATGAGTATATGCCCTGGGACAAAGAGGGAACAGAAAGGGGTCGCAGCCAAGCCTGTCCAGTTGACCCCTCCCTCCCTAGTCACAGCCTGATTTGCAGACGGGCACACTGCTACATGTCTCCGCTGCCCATCCATCTATGTATGGCCCATGACTACCCTCAAGACAAATGTAACTGAAGCTATTGAGGGGGACTCCAGCTGTTGTCTTAAATGGGAGGGGGTACAGCTTTCTTTCCCTTTTTTCCTTTTGTCTACCAACCTGGACATGAGACAACATTAAGCACAGCAGAGAAGCAAAACAGAAAGAGCTGGAACCCTGATGACCTTGGAACTGTCATACCAGCCCCAGATTTCCCACCTCTAGACTTCTTTCCAGCATAAGGAGAGATACACAGCACTCTTGTTTATACCCTTGTTGGGGGCTTTGGTTATAAGCACTGAACCTAATCCTAACCAACACCAGCATCAACCTGCTCTCTCCTGGTTGGTCTCAGCTCTCCCGAGCCTTTCCTTCTATGAGCAACTTGCCAAGTGGAGATAAGCCTTGCGTTTCCTACACGTCTCCAGGCACAAGCCGACTACTTCACCTGGTAGATGCCCAAAGAAACAGTGAACTTCCAGCTCTGGGAGAAAACCCAGCTATGTGGGACTCACCAAACCAACAGTGTCCTTCCCCAGGGTGGTACTCTCCTCCCTTCACAACCCAAACCTCCCCCAAAGACTCTGCTGTTCCAACTCTTCCTCTGACCTGTCCCACATCCCTGATTCTTGACACATTTTTTTGAGAAACCAATCGGCATATTTTTCTCCCAACTAACACTGACATAAATTAGTGAAACTTACAGAGCCCAGGAGTTGGGGCAATTCAACAAAAAGAAATTACTGCTAACTGTGAAGTAGACCCTGGGAGAAAGCCTATTGGTACTCACAATAGACAGCTTTTCTGTAGTCGTGTACCGGGCAAGGATTTCTCCCCGTTTGTTGGCCCAAGGCTCAAAATCTGATCCTACAATGGAGTTCTCATCTTTATCACGTTTCTTTCTGGAGCTGTCCTAAGGAAAGGCAAGGCAATCTCTTCAGTGGCAATATCATTTTAATCTTTACAAAAACATATATAAGATAGTGGGGCATGTTGGCTCACACCTGTAATCCCAGCAATTTGGGAGGTCAAGGCGGGACAAATGCTTGAGGCCAGAAGTTTGAGACCAGTTTAGGCAACACAGTCAAACCCCATCTCTATAAAAATTTTAAAAACTAGCTAGGCGTGGTGGTGTGTGCCTGGGGTCTCAGCTACTCGGGAGGCTAAGTAAAGAGGACTGTTTGAGCACAGGAATTTGGGGCTGCAGTGAGCTGTGATCACACCACTGCACTCCAGCCTGGCCAACA